AATTAAGATACTCACGTCTTTGCCTTTTTCTACATTTTCTCCTTTCCCCGTAGCCGTTTAGAAAAAAAATGTCCAAGGGGGTTTTTTTTCTTCCCCCCCTCCAGAATGTTCCCGGAAATGAGTTAGGCAAGTGTTTAAAAGGTCAGTCGACCTGTTGCAACTTTTTAGGTGTTTTTTTTCCACGCAACTTGAAACTCCCCCCACTTCCTAAAGGCCGTATCACACGTACACATTTCAAACAATTTTCGTTCAATTCGTGCAATTTTTCTCGGGTTGCCAACCCGCTTTAAACAATTTTTTGTGCGAGCTCAAAAGTTGTTCCAAATAAAAGCAAATTCCCACCAAGGGGGTTTTTCCCGGGCTCTCGTCAAAAACAAGATGCGGCCCGGTTTCGTCTAACACTTAGATATGTCGTATAATATTTTAATGGTGTATAATATTTTAGGGGGTATAATATTTTAAATAGAATGGTGCTCTATTTTTAGTTCACACCCATCAACAATTGCGCAAGGGGAAATGAAAGAAAAAATTTTTTGGATGTTCATTTTCCGAAGCAGAAAAATCGGCGAAGATTTTTCAATGTGGAGATAGGGGCGTGGCTGACGTCAGGCGTGTCTTTTTGTTTACGGCAACCTTCCCCTCAGATTCGGTCAAAATTGGACGAAAAATTGCATGAAAAAATATACGTGTGATACGGCCTTTAGATCCTACCGAACCGAACCAACCGGACTCGTATCTCGAATTTCGCTCGTAACTAAAGAAAAAAATCACTTGCTCGTCGTCTCGTATCTCGAAAACTCGTATGTTGGGGCACTCGTATGTCGGGGGTACCACTGTATATATTATAAACGCGAAAGTTTGTGAGGATGTTTGGCCGCGTCTTTCACGCAAAAACAACTGAATGGATTTTAATGAAACTGTACCATAATATAGCTTATACATCAGAATAACACATAGGCTATAATTTATAAAGATATTGTGTGATGTTTCCAAAATATAACGATAATTTTTAAAAAAGTAAGAAAAAATTCTACCATCTGCAAAAAAGCCCGTGACAGCATACATCTTTTTTGTGTGAAGCAAACCTTTCAATTTTGCTTTGTCTACGCCATGCCTCAGAGCGAGGTCGCTTTTAATTTATTCCGTTCATCAGATATAAATTAATTACACTATTTTAAACGTCAATTACACAAAATTTATAACAATGACAGCGGAAGGAAAAACTAAGAAATTAAAATAAAATATAAATGTTTTGATCAGATATATTTTTTCTTTTTGAATGTTTTTAACAGTACATGTAAACATATATCTAGGCTTTTCCTCACACTGTTTTTTAATAACTTACAAACACACGTTTATTCAAGCATTAAAAAAAGCAATCGTTTCAATAGCTATCTGTAAATTTTCTTTTATTTATTACTAATAGAAAATGGATTTTAATTAATATATATATGTTTTTTTAAAGGATTATTTCTATTATGTCATTACTAAATTAATTATTTGCTAATTAAAACGTTCATCCTCTATTATTTTGGATAAAAATACATTTCAGAAACATTTTTAAGCTAACTATATGTAACAATTGACTGATTCATGAAAAAATCTGAAATTTATTTTATTATTTTAATTTCTTAGAAACTATTATTAAAAAAATGATGAGAAAGTTTTTTGTTTTACTCTTAGCATCAGAATCGTTTTCTTTTTTTATTGCTTCACATTAATAATTTTTTAATTAACGCAATATTGTTTTTTATAAGTCCTACATCGAAATTTGAAGCTATATAGCTAAAGAGGGAACAATAATTTTACACTAAAAAAAAAACTGTGTTATGACGGGTTAGACAGAGGGAAAAGAAACCTGTCTTAAATCGAAAATATGTGGAACAAATTTCGAAGGGAAATTTAATGAAATAATTTTAGAAATCACTCACATTGCGCGCGTACAAACACACACACACATAATTGCTGGTGTCATGTGAGAAAGAGAAAGCCCGTGCAACGCCGGTTAATGCAGCTAGTAGGCTATAATTTATAAAGACATTGTGTGAAGTGTCCAAAATATAACGATATTTGTCAAGTAAGTAGGAAAAAATTCTGCCATGTGCAAGCAATTCTGGCGTGCGCTGCAAAAAAGCCCGCGTCAGCATTTATCTAGCTTTTATTTGTGAAGAAACACTTTGTTTTGTCTACGCAAGGAGCTGGCTTCTAATTAATTCCTGTGATCAGTGTAATCCATATATATATTTTTTTATTTCAGAATAAAACTCAGTTTTGAAGGGACAGGTTGTTTTAGATCTCTCTTCAGATATATATAGCTACTATTGATTTTTTTCATGTGTGAACCATAAGAAATTGATCCTTATATCAAAATAAACTAAATTACTATTTTAATTTTCTATTATGTATGCATACGCACGAATGTTTAAAAAAAGAGAAAAAGTAAGGTTTTTTTCTATCCTGGATTTCCTATTTTGTATATTTTGGATACAAATTGAGGTTTAGAAAATAATTTTTTACACTTATTTTATCCATTTTTGGTGATAGTCTCAAAGTATATATAAAAAAAATAGTATTTCAAGAAAATTCATAAAATTTGTAGATTTGAATCCTGTTTTCAGTTAAGACAATTCTAAATTTTGATTTTCTAGAATAACATAACAGAGTGTATATGAAAAACAAAAGTCGCGCGTTACGAAAATTTTCTATATTTAAAATTTTCCGAATTATAAAATTGAATCTGCGTAAGTAAGAATTTTGTAGCAAAATGAATTTGAGGAAAAATAACGATTACTGCAATTTTTATGTAAGATAAAAAATAATGTTAGAAAATTTAATAATATATTTCAGAGAATAATAAATGATACATTTTATAAAAATTTGAATTCCTAAGCCTAAAAATTTTAATCCAGTCATCGTAGGATTTGGGGGAAAGCTACTGTACAAAGAGTTTTATCGCTAAAGCATGGCCTCTCAAACTGTGGGGAGTGCCCCCCTAGGGGTCGTAATAACCCTACAAGGGGAGGGGCACGAGCATATAAAATAGTTGAAAATAAAAAAAATATTTAAAAAATATTAATTTACTGAAAGGAAACAAAACAAAATATATACATTCTGACACAATAAAAAATAATACTTATTACAATTATAAATTTTTCAGTACTTCATTATACCTTTGCTAATTAATTTATCAATACTGAATCAAGAACAAGTTTAATAATCACTATCGACTCCAATGGGCATGTCTCTCAAAGCAGAATTTTTCAAAGGAAGGTTTAATACTAGATACTTTTTTTTTCTTTCTTCTTCTTCCTATATTTAGCTGAGATCTATATTTTGTCTTTAAGGTAGCCGCGGCAGAAAATCCTTTTTCCCAAAGGTAGGATGTTGGAAATATAGGATACGACTTTAGAAATGGATGATTGAAGAAACAAATACTTAATTTAACTAAAAATTATTTTACAATCAGTTTCAATTTAAAAAACAAAAATGAAAAGTAACATAATACTTATCCTATTGCTTACAATATTTTGACAAAAAATGAACATAGAATGACTCATTTTCAAAATATTCTCCTTCTGTGAAAAATGCTTCTATTATAATAATATTTTGCCTGTATATGGCTCAGACCTCTGTACAGAGGCTCAACTAGAATTTTTGAAATATATATCTTAGAAGTGGGTTTATCCATATTTTACGACAACAGAGGGGAGAAATTTTAAGAAAAAACGCCGATAATTATTTCAATGGGTTGTAACTCTGAAAATAATGTGAATTTTTAAAAAAATTAGTTCATATTCTCTGAAGAAGTATTTACTTTATATAAGCACGCACACAAAATATTATTATTTTAGAAGCATTTTTTATTAAAGGAGAACATTTTGAAAAAAAGATTATTCTAAGTTAATTTTTTGCCAAAATATTGTATTTAAATAATTTTTTTTTGTCAAAATGTCCTTAAAACAATTTTATACATGTATTCTAATCTAAGTGACACTAAATATCATGAAAATTATCCATTTATGCGCTTTTTTAAAATCACGGTTCCGAACGTAGTCGGGATACCTTAAAAAAAAGTAGCTTACATAAAATATCTATTACTTAAAAGCAACATATACAAAATTTAAAACTTATCTTGATAATTTGTATGGTTTATAAATAAGGTCGTATTGTAATTTTAGCGTCAAAGTCTATTATTATTGTGCATTCAGTACATTGTTCTTGTAAGGAGGCGCATTGAAAATTATGTCGTAATTAAGTAAGGTAGGTAATATAAGAGTAAGGTAGTAAGTTTAATAAGCACTGCGATTCTTAACTGAGTTTGCATGCTTCAATCTGAGACAATCAATGGACATAATCAAAATAATTCTTAAATGTGAATGAGGATGATTACACCATATTTAGTATATTTCCAGTTGCATTACGCAGAGCGGCTGGAACACGAAAACAAGTGCATATTATCTAAAAAGCGATGTGCGAGATTCACACACAGATTCTAGTAAATAATTGAAATGAATGTTCTTAAAAAACATTTAAATTCATTATATAGATGCATGCGTTTTCAATTAAAAGTAAATTTAACTAATTTCATTCAAAACGAATCTAATGTTGTTTTTTCAATTATTTTGCGCACATTTCAAGCTTTTAACCAATTTTCCCTTTTTCTACAAAGCAATTCTCTGTACAAGAATTTTGCTTACTCGTAACTTTTTAAGAATGCAAATGCACATGTAAGCAAGTAATATATATATATATATATGTAAAATTTCAAGTCCATTCCTACATTTTATTTTAGTTACTTTTTACTAAATAATTACAATTAATATAAATATGTATATACATACGACAGAATCACAATATTAAGTGGCAAAATAGAAAGCGATTTTCCTTTCTATGTATGGTGTTGGCATATTTTTGTTTGTGTTTGTTACTATTTATTCATTAATTAAATTTAATTATTCCAATAGTATAGTAAAAAGAAATCATATTCTTAGAAGTTAGGCCATCCCAGGTGGGATTCGAACCCAGAGCCTTTGGATCAGAAGTCCAACGCGCTATCCATCGAGCCACAGGGACACAACAAGCGATTTTCCTCATTATATAAGGTGTTGAACTATTATTTTTGTTTGTTATTATTTATATATTCATTGATTAAATAGAATTCATGAATTAATATTCGAAAAAACTGTATTACCATCAAGCGTCATCTACTAGAAGTTTAAAAAAATGTATTTGAACTTGAGTGGATGAATAAAAAGTATTTCATTAACGATTGAAAATTTGAACGATATATATATATATAGGAAGAGTGTGAACTAATAGTAGGAATTGAAAAAAGTTGAGGTTTAAAGAGAGTCATACATATATATATTTATATAAATAATAAAGTAAGATATAGATGATTTTTTTAAACGCAGATTTTTTTCAATCAGTTTTAATCTTTAGTGCATCTGTTATTCTTAGACAAAAATATATGATGAAAGTCACATTAACTGATTTTTTTTTCCTTTTTGAAGGAAGCATAAAGTTTAAAATAAATTTATAAGCTCAAAATTTTAGCGATGAATCGTTAAAGATTTATTTCTATTGAAATTCCAAAATAATCATTAAAAAATTAGATTACTATAAATACACTCTCTTTCAATGAATTGCCACCTTCTTTGAAAATTTAATTTAATTTAATGGCAAATATTCAGGGCAATTGGTAAAACTTAAGCTAGCATATTTTTTTCAAAAACCATTTCTGTCCCAACTTAAATAAAAAGTACTTTCAAATTAGCCTACAATTTTGTAATGCAGAAATCATGCATTCAATTATTTGTTTGAAGAATTATAAATCAACAAAACCATGTTATTGTTACAAAAACGGCATGACCTTTATATACACACATAAAAGGGTAACTGATTGATTCAGGAATAAAAAGTAATAATTTATTTCTCAGAGTAAAAATAAAATGCATGTTTGAAATACACATCCAATGGTTTTCATAAATATATAACGGGCAGAGTGTTTTTATTATTTTAAGAATACACAATACCCTTTTTCAAAAAATTATTTTGGAGACGGTAACAGTAAAAATAATGTATGTTTTATGTTCAGATTATATTATTAAGTTCAATCCGAAAGTAAAAAGTCAGTTTTTGACCAGAAATTGTTTTACATTTTTTTCAAACTAATAAACTGCTCACTTTTTATGACTTTTTAGACATTTCAAGTTATTTATGTTTCCTTAAATTTTGCATACAAAAGTTTGTACGTATTTGAAAATATGTTCCCTTGGTGATTCTTAATAATTATTTTTCTAGAAAAACCTGGAAAAACACAAAAATTGTTTAAATAGTAACTTAATTATGTTTTAAAAAAATAACTAGAGATCTCAGCCCTAAATCCATATTAACATCTAAAGAACATACGTTTGGGAGTATATACAAAAAATTTTAAGGCTCTATCTTGAAGAGAAAAAAAGTCTTAGGGATTAGAAAACACTTATACTTTCAAAATTGAAAGTCTGAGAAAAACGCATTTAAAGATTGTAAAGGCATAAAAAAAAATTATAATGCCCGTAAAGCTCTAATTTTTAATGTTATTTTCCACAATGTATGTGTGTTCTACATTAAAATACTATTTTAATTAAATATGACTGAAAATAATTTTTTAACTTTAAAATATATTTTTGCATAATATATTGATAGCATTTGTTACGATGATAGTTTATTCCCCTTAATCTTAACCTAATATTTTCACAAACGTTTTGAAACACAAAACATTTATGTACAAAATAATAATGATACTAACTTAAGCTAAAAATAGCTAAGTTTGTTCATATTTTTTTTTCCAGTTTTAAATCGGGCAGTTTAAGAAGTTTTAGCTCTTGTTGTGAATGACTTTAAATTACTAAGATATAGTACTATACTATATGTTTACTATAATGTAGGTACATCAAGGAAATATTCAATTTTATCTGCAATACTTGAATTCAAAATACTTGTATTTGGAAGTCTAATTGCAGTATCAGCTGAGGAATGATTTTTAGATACTGGTACTTCTAAGCTATATAAACTATTTTTTAAAGTAAAAATTGGCCTTGAAATCAATATTTATTAATTAATAATGAGAATTCAAAAGACTCAAAACATAATCAAGCAGAAATGATTTTAGTAATAAAAATTGGAATTAATAAACATTTCACACTAAGAGAGTTGATTGTGTTCAAAAATATTTTTCATTTATTTAATTTAAGTGTGGAAAAAGGCTTTAAAATGATACCGAAACCAAAACCATAGCCCATAACACTTTGAATATCCCAAAAACTAATTTGTTGTCAGGTCTGAGATTTGGTGGCGAGCTTTCCCAATGATATAAGCCACAAAAAAAATTCTGTATATATGAAATTTGAAGGGTACTGAGTAGTCTTAATAAAATAAAAAGAAAATTATCACACTTAAAAGAATCAAATTCGGACACAACGGAAAAGTTTAACAAAGAAATGCAGAATTTTTACCAAACATGTTTCCAATAAGTTGAAGCAAGTAAATTGGGCAATTATCGGAAATTGTGTCGAGTTTTGCTCGAAAGAAATGCCTAATATTAAAATCGAGGACAATTGTCTGTTTGAAGAAATTAGAAGACTGGATGTATATTTAAATTCTGATAAATTAGAAAAATGGGAAAATCAGCTTGTTGAAACTCATAAAAGATGGGTGGAAATATTTAACCATTTTAAAAATGAACTTATTCCATATGAAAATTGGCTATCTTGCTGAATTTACGCTGTGCTGCCCAGAAATTAATGCAGCAGTTGAAAGAGTTTTTTCTATTTGTAATGACTTTTGGACAAGTGAGAAATTAAGATTGAATGTTGATAGTTTAGCTGTAGTACTTACGTAAAGCTCAATATGAAGGATACTGTTCCAAAATTTCCGATATATTAGAAATAGATATATTGACAAAAAATATTCATTCAATGGAAAAATACTCGATTAAGTAAATAATTAAAAGGGATCTAAGCGTAATTAGTGTTTTTTTTCTTTCTGGATTAATAAAATGTTTTATATATTTACGTCGCAAATTTTTTCTTAAATTTTTCGTCCTCCTTTTTATTGTAAAAAAAATTGGTCACCTTAATATAACAAAGTTTTACGCGTATACTATCCGAGATATTTTGACGGCAAATGAAGTTCACCATTATATGAAGGGTAGAGCAACCTTCGGTAGGGAAATGTTAAAAAATGTCGTCAATACGCGAGGAAAGGGAAAAAAAACACAGAATCTCTCCTCAATTTCTGTGGCAACAGAGTTCCAACCCACAAGTGGACAACGCTGACATGAGTTGGCGATTATGCCTAATAGGCTGCCATGGACCGAAAGGCATGAAACACATTCGATAAGTCCAGTAGGTGATGTTAAACATTTGATTTCTATACCTGAAATATTACTAGTCATCTGATTCCAGCTTAAGCGTAATCCAACTTTGAAAAAATCGTCTTGCCTTAAAAAGAAATTGAAAAGACTTCAGTTTTTGGTAGGGGATATATACAGGGAGTCCCCGAATGCCGTGTACAAACTTGGAGGGGAAGGAGAGAACATCGTGAGGAACCATTAATTACACAGGAAAGCATAGACGGAAAGTGTTAGTGGCGGTGTATGTGTAGCACGTAAGGTCAGCTTATGTGGTTTCCTCATTTCAGATATGGACAGCGTGCGATGAACATGAATCGTTATACGAACGCCGAGTTGGCGGATATCCACTTCAACGGAAATGGACGTGTTATTGTTTGGTTGTATGGGGAAAGATATCCAACGAGATCACAACCGAATCATCAAACGATCGTTCGCGTGCACTAGAATCTGGCATGATTCTAGAAATATGAACATGGATTTCACATCATAAATCTTCGACAAAGCGTTGATAATAATTGAAGATTTTTACAATTTCCAATCGTTATCAAAAAAGTTCAGGGCATATCTTTAAAATTCAGTGGCTTAGATCTAGATGTGGATTTCTTCTCACATGGACAATTATTTGATGTGTTCCAAAATAGGCAGACCAAACAATCATTTCTGTATCTGCATAGACAATGAAGCAACACAAAATATTGTCTACCCAGAAGTATTGTAAAATTAACCCTTTGCCCTCATATATATATAGACTCCAGAGCGGAACCATTTCATCAAATTTGGGTAATTTAACTTGTATAAGATGTTTTTGATTCAAATTAATATAGTAATTTTTTCCCCTTTGTTTAAGACAACACATCATTTATATGTTACCGACTATTTTATGAACTGCATGAACTTATTTATGAATTTCTGAAATTATTTGTTACTTACATATTATCGCAGCCTATTGGTGATATATGAAACGAAGCACCTGGTTGCCAATTCAGCGCATACAACACAAATGGTCGATTGTTGAGATAATACGCAAGTACCGTTATTTCTTATAAATATTAATGATTCGCATTTACTTCAGTTCATGGTTTTTATTATATAATTTTCTGATTTACATGTTTTTGTTGAAAATTCTTATTTGAATACTTTCTTTGGTACTTATGTATTATCATAACCTATTAGCACCATCATATGAAACGAAGCACCTGGTTACCAATTCAACACATAGGAAATTGGGGTTGCCAAAATAGATTTGGCGATTGCTGCAATAATACATAAGTACTCTTTCTTCTATTTGTTTTAATATTTTTGTGTATTATTATTTACTTTTGTAACCTTCGTGGCATACTTTGTGGTGCACCAGTCTATTTAATCAGACTGAGCCACAGCAGCATGTAGTACAGCTAGTTATAAAATATAATTTTAAAAGATATCATAAAATTAGAAACAGTTCGTACAAACACAAAATATATATTAAAAAAGTCTTCATTTCGTACTTCAGAGAAACATCAAACAAAATTTTAAAAATTGTCGGAAACAAACAAACACACACACAAAAAACATATTTTAAAACAATCCTGTCGATTATTTTCTCCAAATTAAGACATTACGAAGTGCAAAAAATATTTTGGAGAGATCCTTTCATTTTCGATACACAATCGGCAAAAAAAAAACCCTTAAGTGT